CAAACACCCGTCCTGCAGCTCTGGGTTTCGCGTCACTCCCCCTGGGTGCTAATGATGCCCCAGCTGAGACTATAACATTGGGATTCTGTGGACAGTCTCTAGCCATATGTCCTGGCTTCTGGCAAGTGTAGCAAAGACCTGCCCGAGAAGTCTGGGAAGGATTAGTGAAGGCATTATGTGGGCACTGATTCCTGTAATGAGGGCCTCCACATTGAAAACATTTTACCCCGGATACAGATCCCGATGATCGAGGTGTTGGGGTAACACTGCCACTCCTGGAAGACTGGGGGCGTGAATAAGGCATCCTCCTCTCTGATCTACTACCCCTACTCGGGACCCCACTTGAGTGGGTCCTCATCACTCTGACTCCTCCCTCCTGGAGTCTCTCTATTGTCTTCGCCTTCTCCACCAGCTCTGGGAATCTCCTGATAGAGAAGGGAACCACCATGAGCTTGATCTCAGCCCTCAAGCCTTCCTCAAACTTCCTGCTAAGCCACTGTTCTGAAGTTGTACCTGTGTAGAAACGAGATAAGTGCTCAAATCGTATGGCGTAATCATGCACCATCATATTACCCTGTCTCAGACTCAGGAACTCAGTCTCCTTCTGAAATCTAACACTGTCAGGGAAGTATTTCTCCAGAAATCTCTCACGGAAAGTTTCCCAATTGCACACCTCCCCACGTGCAATCATCATCCTTTGAGTCCCTGACCACCAGAACTCAGCCTCATCAACTAGTAAGTATTTCCCGAATGTCAATTTCCTGTCTTCCGGGCATAAGGTAGCCTCAAAAATCTTCTCCACTTCACGCATCCACTTCTCTGCTGCATCAGGACCCAAATCTCCTCCAAAACGAGGCGGATTGTGCCTCATGAACTCAGTCAGCCCCATCTGCTCTGATTGGTGATATCCAGCAGAGGATGATGCCATAGTTGGCCTCCACTGCGGGTAGGTAGCCTACTGCTGCATGGCAGCTGCCAACATTTCCATTGCCCTGGCTAGGGCATCTACACTCGGTGGAGTAGTAGTAGGAGTAGGAGGTCGCGGTGCCATCCTATATCAAACGCAACCATCAATACAGAGCAAACATTCACGCACTCACAATCAGAGTATAATCACAACGGACTTATCATAGGTTCACTACCCATCCCCACGTATTTACAAGGATACTACCGCTCCGATACCACTATTGTAACGACCCTAGAAATCGCTACTATAATGATGTCTTCGCAAAGTAGTAAACAAGTAAATAACAACATTTATTTTACATTATATTACTCGTAATTGTAACATATATTGAAATTCCAGCTCACTAACGAACTTCAAAATATAGTAACATAATTTATTTATATATTATACATGTAAAAGTAGCTCCCTCGAAGCTATCCCACCGAACTATCCCTACCGTCCAGTAGTCACATCACCATCTCTCAACTCCCGATCCGCTCCCACATAAAAGTGATCATCGCAGTCCCATCCACATGGAAAAATAGGGGTAAGTATTAAATCATTCGATATAATAAAACAGATATAGAAGTAATAATTATATATTATGATCAATTACGAAATTATCAACACACTAAGACACCTTCCGGAAGTATACCCTAACTATGCCCGAACTCAGAGGCTATCATCTGTGGGCACATTGTGATCGGTACCCGCAGTACCATTCCGACCACCCTCCACACAGAGTAAGATTACTAGCGCCCTTCATCACTCATACTGGAGTACCCCTCCGAGCGCGCCACCAGTCATCCCCCCATCGACTTCTCACCACCTGATCTCGTAGTCTACCTGACCCGACCAATCAGTGAAGTCTGGGACCTCATTCAGAATCCTCCGACATAGTTATTACACTAATGTACTCTGTACCACCCCGGGTACCATTCAAACATACAAAATTTATTCACATTTGCCGGATTCTGGACCACCTGTCCTCACGGCTCATTCGAGTCAATAAAAATAGTATTTGACTGATTCTGGCACCAACCCTCCGGCTCAGTCTAGCCAATATATAACGTCTCAGGACTGATTCTGGGCATCAGCCCTCAGGCTCAGTCTGACCCACACACGTCACAACACACTACTTTCATTCTCTCTCTCTTTATATATATTTTTCTAAAATCATTTCCGAAATCAATAAATTACTATTTTGCCCTTGATCTTTAAAAAAATCCCCACCATACCCCTTTCTTCTTCCTTCTCTCGCTCAAGCGAGTACACCGGTCGCTTGAGCGAGATGGAGCCCGAGAGCCCCTTTGTTTGAAGGCTTCCTCGCTCAAGCGAGTACACCAGTCGCTTGAGCGATACATGACCCGGAGTCCGCTTTGTTTGAAGGCTTCGTCGCTCAAGCGAGTTCACCGGTCGCTTGAGCGAGACATGACCCGAGAGTCACCTTTGTTTGAATGCTTCGTCGCTCAAGCGAGTACACCGGTCGCTTGAGCGAGACATGACCCGAGGGTCACCTTTGTTTGAATGCTTCGTCGCTCGAGCGAGTACAATTGTCGCTTGAGCGAGACATGACCCGAGGGTCACCTTTTGTTTGAATGCTTCGTCGCTCGAGCGAGTACAATTGTCGCTTGAGCGAGACATGACCCGAGGGTCACCTTTGTTTGAAGACTTCGTCGCTCGAGCGAGTACAATTGTCGCTTGAGCGAGACATGACCCGAGAATCCCAAATTTTCCAGGTATCGTTGCTCAAGCGATGTATGTTTCGCTTGAGCGAATTTTGCAGGTTTTCCAGTTCGCCATTTTCGAAATCCAGGTTTCAAATTTCTCAGTTTCAATCACCCAAATTAGTTCCAAATCAAAATTAAACCATAAACATGTTCAATTTAAGTTAAAAACAACAATTTTATTATATAATTCATCATTAATTTCAATAATTAAAAAAAACTTTCAAACGATGAAATGTTCATCAAAATCAGAAATTCTTCAAAATTACACATTCGTCAAAATTAGATATTCCAATACTTCATATTTCTACTCCTATTCCTTATTCACAGAAGTACCCAACAATTCAATTTTATATATTGAATGAATTAAACTTCCCCTTACTTGGTATGGTATTTCTACCGAAACTTTCCCACTTAATTCAAGTTCTCTCCCGTTTCACCAGATCCTGCACGAGTAGAATCTCGTTGCTTGAAATTTAGACAATAGAAGAAGAAGGATGAGAGGAAAATTTTTGATTTCCCTCCTCCCCCGCTTCAGTATTCATATATAAGAAAATTTTTATCGTGCATGAGGAAAACTTCGTTACGAAGTTTTCTTGCACAAGTAATATTAATATAATATTAAAATAATCATACGTCACATTTATATTCTCCTCAAACATGAGTTTCTTTCTTTTTCAAAATATAAAATGTCTCAAATATTTTTAATCTATTAAAAAATTAATAGAATATAAACAATTATTTGTTATGGTTTTTAATATGTTCTCCTAGTTATATATTTCACATTTATTATTATTTAAAATGATAACTTAAAAAATAATTAATATATATATATATAATAAAATGTTTAAATATAATATTATTATATATAATATATGATAACATTATAATTATTATTATTATTATTATTATATATTCTATATCTATCTAAAAATATTAAATATTTCTTTTACATAATATTTTAATTAAATATAATAAATTAAGTATATCCTTAATTAATAATAATTAAAAATTATAAATATTAATTAATTAAACTTAAATGATTAATTATAATTAGATATTTTAACACACAAATATTATAATTTTAAATTTATCAAATAAAAAATTAATTAATAGATAAAACTTAAAAATTATTCAAGTATACTTTTTTTTAAAATACGAATATAAAATATTTTATAGAAAAGAATGTTATCAGGTTTAGCTACAAACCCTTTAACATCCCCTCAAGCAAAACAGATTCGAACCTGTCATTGTTATGTCTATAGCAGATCATCTTATTTAACATACTTATTTTACCTTATCAGAAAGGACCATATTTGTGCAGTTCTTGTTCATTTGATTTCTTTTCTTAAAGAGCACAATTGAAAGAAATAAAAAACCAGCTAAAGTTTTTTTTTTCCCTTAATAACATTTTCCTATTATTTTCTATGTGAATTTCATTTATTTATTTTTAAATAAATAAATAATTTTTAAAAAAATATTTATTATTTAAAAAAATATATGATGTGATTATATTTATTAGCATAATATTAATATTAATGTGAGAAATGCATATTTATGTTGCATTTCATTATTTATATTTTGAATATATATTAATATATGAAAAATAATTACATTAATTTAATTATAAAATAGATTAAATTAACATTAAAATAAAAAAAATAAAAAAATGTTATTTAACTAGTTAATTTTTTTTATAAAATTTAAAAATTTGTGCAGAAAATTATATATATATTTATTATTTTTTTATCTTTTCATCAATAATAAATATATTTATAATATATTGTGTCAAAATTATTCAAAACCCTCGTAAAATCATTTATAATAAATATATTTAATTGATAGATGTATTTTAAAAATAAAATTATAATAAATTAAAATTAATAATACCAATTCTTGTAACAAACATCAGTGTGAACACAAACTAAACAAAACAAGTAAAAAGAAAAAGAGTATTGACTTAATGACTTTTACGAATGGCAGCATGTGAGAATAGACTTTGCAGACGCCGTATTGACTAGGCCCCTCCAAACATGTAAACAAATTAATCAAATAATCAAACTTTGCATCCCCTTTCAAGCCACGTGTGAGGGCACCATTATACTTAGTCAAAGTTCTCACCTTTGGAAGTAAGTGCTTCGGTGTTGACACCCAAGTACTTCCCCCACAGTATAAACAAACAGTGTCATGCCATTCCACAAAACTCAAATCATAGGAATCTGAATAAATAAAAAAATAAATATCTGAAAGCATAAAGTTGAATCCAAAGAAAACATTAACATAACATGTAAACACAGTTCACAGCATACAGAAGAAACACATAGAGTATGGATTTGATTTTGAAGGTTCTTGCAGTTGTAGAATTAGTATTGGTGATAGTCCACCCTGGTGCTCATGCATTGAGCAGAGATGAGTTCCCTTCTGACTTCGTGTTTGGTGCATCAACTTCAGCTTATCAGGTTCTTCTTTCTCTCCCTCTCAGTTCCTCATACTCTGCTCTTGTACTTTCTTCCTTTTCACCAGTATAATTCACTTCACTGTCCTTGTCTTTTGATTCTGTTACTGAATATGTATTCATATGTTATGAATTTGTAATTGGGATAATTTTAAAGGTTGAAGGGGCAGCAAATGAAGATGGAAGGAAGCCAAGCATATGGGACACCTTCTCCCATTCTGGAAATGGTACTCTCACATATAATATGTTTCATTTCTTTTCAAATCAAGTTCTTTTTTTTAAGTTTTAATATTCCTATTTTGATAAGAAAAAATTAATGCTAAAAATACGATTTCAGGGAATATGTATGCAGGTGATGGAGATGTTGCATGTGACCAATATCACAAATATAAGGTCAGTGACCCTGGACTATATCTAGACAGAACCAAAAGAGAAATTGTACACATATACATGCTTTCATACACACAACATGCACAGTATATACACCACTGGTTTAAAATTCATGTTGTTCACCTAAAAAGAGTTTGTATTGTTCTGAGTTAATAGCATACCTTGACTTCCTGCAGGAAGATGTTCAGCTCATGGCCAACATGGGTTTAGAAGCCTACAGATTTTCCATATCATGGTCAAGGCTTATTCCAGGTGAGATCATCAAACTGTTGTCAGGGATATTCTTAAATCTATGTCTAAAATAGATGTGAAAAGTAATTTGTATAGATACATACTTGGTTTGATTTAGGGGCAATGAATTTCTGGCTCCAATTGAATATAGTTGCCTGGATCAAACTGTTATTTCCATAATGTTCTGACCATCTTATTACCATTTACTACCAGATGGAAGAGGACAAGTGAATCCCAAGGGTCTACATTATTACAACAACCTTATTAATGAATTGATAAGCCATGGTTCTTGTGAAAACATCATTTTCCTCTTAAAGTTTGATTAAACGCCTAAGAGAGGTTCTTCCAGGTTATCTGATGAACATTTATTTTTGTGTATGATTGCTCGTAATGTAGGAATCGAAGCACATGTTACATTAAACCATTGGGACCTACCACAAGCATTTGAGGATGAATATGGAGGATGGGTTAGTCGGAGAGTTGTGTATGGTTCCCAAACTTCAAGTCTCTACAGAGATTGCCTGGATTGAGATTGTGCAAAATAAATTTTAAATTAAGAAATGACATTTATTGCTATTAACTTATGTATATATGCATGCTTGTAGGAAAGACTTCACAGAATATGCAGATGTGTGCTTTAGAGAATTTGGAAACAGAGTTAGGTATTGGACTACAGTGAATGAGGCCAATATTCATGCAGTATTTGGCTATGACGTAGGGTACTTACCACCTCAGAGGTGTACTCCTTCTCCCATGGCTAACTGTTCCAGAGGAAATTCCTCAACTGAGCCTTATTTGGTTGCCCATCATATGTTGTTAGCACATGCTTCAGCTGCTAGGGTATATAGAAAGAAATATCAGGTAAAACTTATGTAGCAAATATACCACTCCACTATGTCATTCATTAGGCCTTCGATTTGCATTTTGAACCATAATCTAGCAGGATAGGGTTTAAGGTGGTCACCATGATGGTGTCATTTTGAAATGCTGATAATGATAATTTAATTAGTTCAGAAACACAACCTCTTTTGAATGCAGGGCTTGCAGCGTGGCTTAATTGGGTTTAATCTCCTTATTTTTGGTCTTCTTCCACGAACAAATTCTACTGAAGATCTAAGTGCCACTCAAAGGGTTCAAGACTTCTTCGTTGGGTGGTAAGTAACAATCTAGGCATGTTATATCTGTCTAATGCCTGTTGAAATTTGCATCTTGGGATATGCAAAGGACCAACTCTTCATAACATAAATTAACTGTAAAGTGAAGAAACAATATTTTTATATCTCTAACATATCCCTTCAAATGAGATTTGTTTAAGATTAGAGCATAACAATACGCACACTATGCTAAAGAATGGTTTTGTGACTGTGATTGAACTCTTGAACCTCTTTGATTGTTTCCACTTCAAATCCACTAGAACAAAATTGTTTATAAACTACTTTTAACTCAATCTTAAGTGATTTGAAACTATTTTGTTCAACTGGAAGAACTTTTTTTTTTTTTTCTTTTAACAATTTATGCAAGTCTTGAATGGTTCTATATCTCAATTCTTTAGTAACAGAATTTTTGTAAAAGTCCAGTGTAATTTTCCAATACAAATAAATGGCATAGCTTTCAATTATGCATTAGTTGATACAGTAGGCTTTCACCTATGATTTGTTAGTGCAGGTTTATGAATCCCTTTACTTTTGGAGATTACCCTGATATAATGAAGAAGAGTGCTGGTCCAAGGCTTCCTTCCTTCACCCAAAAGGAATCTAATCTGGCCAGAGGCTCAATCGACTTCTTAGGAATAAACTTTTACTACTCAGTTTATGCCAGGAACAGTCCCAGCAGCCTGCTAAAGGACAACAGAGATTTCATGGCAGATTTATCGGTGGAAATGGAAAGTATGTCATATGCTGTTTCCATGACCTATTTTTATTGCATAACCCATTCTATATTGCAGTTCAACAAGTTACTCACAGAAATATTTCTATATTGTGAGAGGCCTTATTCAAGATACTTATGGATGAAATTCGACTTGCTTACATGCTATTTTAATTTTTTTCAGCAACTGTACCATTGAACGAATCGTGTTTGAATAATTTTTATTTTTGTTTACAGTTGATCTTAGAATTTTTGGGGTTTCTTAATCTTGATTCTTTGCTAATACTTTTTATAGACCATCCGAGGTTCCATTGACACCATGGAATTTCTTCTGCATTCAATCTTGTGTCTCTCGAACATGAATATTATATATAAATCAGATTCACAACTTCACTTTCATTTCTTACCTCTATCAGTTCAAGTCTTCGTCTAAACTTCCATAATCCATGCCATCAAACGTTAACAGATCCTGGGTAACATTTAATATTATGTATTGTTATTGCTAAAGACTTGTTTAGTTAGTAGGTGAAATCAATCTGTGATGTCATCCATCTTCCTCCAATTTTGTGGAAATGAAACCGCTAATTAATGCTCTTTTTGGTTGTAGGATTTCTTCCAAACGGTACAGCTACCTATGAGGTAACACAGCAAGAACATTGTGCTTTTATTCTCTACGTATTTCTTGATTCTTTTCAGGATGTAGCTTAAATACTTTCCACTAATCAGCTGACTGGTTTAGGTTCCAATTACTCCCAAACTTTTCATAGGGATGTTAGACTCACTAAGGAATGCATATGGCAATATTCCAATCTACATACACGAAAATGGTAAGATTTTCTAGTTCATGGAATGCTCTTTGCATCTCCCTTGGAATTCAGAAGTTCCATGTTTCTTTTATCAACATATTCAACTGTCCTATTATGTAGTTGTATTGTATGGTAAGCCTTTTTAGCTTTACAGGCCAACAAACACCTCATAATTCATCATTAGACGACTGGCCAAGGGTGGATTACTTGCATGCATACATTGGAAGCATGGCTGATGCACTCAGGTACTTCTACATCTATTTTCACTTTCATGTGGGGAAGTTAAAAAGGTCTTCAGAAAGCTGATTTTGTTTTATTCTTTTTCCTTTCTTTTTGACACCTTACAGGAATGGATTAAATGTGAAAGGTTATTTTGTGTGGTCCTTCTTGGATGCATTCGAGTTATTGACTGGATATGAAACAAGTTATGGCCTATATCACGTAGATGTGAATGATCCAAACTTAAGGAGACAACCTAAGCTCTCAGCTGAATGGTACTCCAATTTTCTGAATGGGAAGCCTATGGACCCAAAGATCGCCATGAAAATTCAGAACAATGCAAGTGTGCTTTCACACAATCCCTCACTGAAAAGTGCTACGCAGAGCGAATGAACGACAGGTTTATGATGTCAAAATCATATGATCAAACTTTTAAATTTTGATGAATTTAACAACTACCTGCAGAAAGCATTGTTGTCGAGTAGTTCGTGACTGAAAATCAGCCTACTATGGCATACACACAATACTGTCCCATACTTGGGTGAAGAGAAAGTACTTTTCTGTTTTCAATACAAGTCTTGTTAAACCTATTTACCAATTTAAGATGAAATAAACAATGTATTTTGACTAAATTATTTTTATGATCATTGAGTGATGGATGTTAATTACTTGAACTTCGATGAACAGATTCTCTCCTGGGGAGTGAAAAAGAAAAACCAAAAATATTTAAACGTAGAAAGATATATTTTTTTATTATTACTCATTTTATTCATATTTTTATTAATTAATATTTTTATTTATTATTTATATTCTTGATTTAAGATTAACCATTGCATTAAACTTCAAGGTAGAATTTCAAATATCAACAAGGCATGTCCAAAATAACTGCGATATTTTAAGTCCAAAACAACATGATGAGGATTTTAAAAGTAAATGAATAAATGTTGCATATCTTCTCTAATCTTTTTGATTGAATAACTTCTGTTTGGTTTGAATCCGGTGAAGTCAAACAGGCCAATTTATGAATTTTGTTCATCATGTTAATAGCTGATTGAGTTGAGTCAACATCTTTGATCATCATTTCAATCAATATATCAATACCTTAGCAGTGAAGACTGAATGAACTCCCCCCAGTATTATAGATTTATGCTTATGAGGTGACCCATTCTACCAAGCAGGCAAAAGACCCCCACTGGTTTCATTGCAGTGAATCCCCCACAAATAGCAGTCTTTGAGGGCTAGCCCTGGGTTGAAACTGCAAAATATAGTCATTTTGGAATGTAGGTTTTATAACCTGAAACAAAACAAGTTCTAGGATTACAATTGTCAAATTGAAGTGTGGAACTTACCGTGGTAAGGTGCAATCTTGCGGCTGCCACTCTGGTGTAAAATTTGCGGCTGCCACTCAGGTGTAAAATCAGAAAAAACAGCAAAGTAATATAAAATCAGAAAAAAAACGCACAAGGATGAACATAGCTTAATACAGAGTTCAGCAACAAACAAAAAGAGAAAACTCAGTTATTCATTGGTACCATAAAGGTTTTCTCTTTTAACACAAAAAAAGATACGTAAATCTCCACAAAATAAGGACTACCACTCTTTTCTACTTAATTGTTTACCATACAACCTACTCTTCTATAAAATAGAGATTATCACCAAACAAAAAAGTAATCAGAAGTTACTTAAAATATTTTAGAAAAAACTCAATTTCTAACACTCCTTCTTAAGATTTTTCTTGAATACTCCAAACTTTGATCTTAGAAATTCAAACTTGTTCTTGGAAAGTGCTTTGGTCATAATATCAGCAATCTGATTCTCTGACCTACAATGCTCTACGCTGATTTCCTTTGATTTCTCTACTTCTCTAATGGCATGATATTTCACCTTAATGTGCTTTGTTCTACCATGTTGGACAAAATTCTTTGCAATTGCAATGACTGACTTGTTATCAACCCATATGACAGTAGCTTCATCATTCAGGTCCCTTGAATCATGCAAATATTTTGTAAGTCAAATGACTTGATTTGCAGTATATTCAACTTCAGCTGTGGATTGAATCACCACATCTTGTTTCTTTGAATTCCAAGAGAAAACTCCACTACCAAATGAGAAAATATAACCTGATGTACTTTTAGCATTATCTAAACTTCCTGCTCAGTCACTGTCTCCATATCCTTGAAGATCATCACTTTCATCCTTTGAAAAACATAGACCATAATCAATTTTCCCTCTTATATATCTCAATACTCGTTTTGCTGCACGGTAATGAGCTTGACTAGGAGAATGCATAAATCTGGACAGCAAACTTGCATCAAACATTAATTCTAGTTTAGTGGTTGTAAGTACAATAAACTTCCAATTAAACTTCTATAAGTAGTAGTATCTACTTTGCTGCAAGCATCATCAAGTGACAACTTTTCATTTACAACAAGGGGTGTGTTTATCGGTTTACAATTCTGTATAGAAAACTTCTTCAATATTTCCAAAGCATATTTTCTTTGTGTAATGAAGATTCCAACATCACATTGGTGAATCTCCATTCCAAGAAAATAATTCATTTCTCCCAAGTCAGTCATTTAAAATTCAGTTTCCATGTCATGCTTAAAGCTGCTCAAGGAATCTGAATTTTTGCCAATAACTAGCAAATCATCAACATATAAGGAAACAATGAGCTACACTTCATTGCTTGACCTTTTCACATACAAATTAGCTTCATTTTCACTCCGTTTAAACCCCTTATGCAGTAGATAACTATCAATTCTACTATATCAGGTCCTAGGAGTCTGCTTTAATCCATAAAGAGCCTTTTACGTTTGTAGACTTTGTTTTCACTCCCTAGAACAACAAAGCCTTTCGGTTGTTCAACAAAGATATCCTCTTCAAGTAAACCATTTAAAAGGGCTAATTTCACATCAAAGTGATAAATTTTCCAACCCATTTTTGCTGCCAATGCAACTAGTAACCTTATTGTATCATGTCTTGCTACCGGAGAAAATGTATTTGAGAAATCAACACCATGTTGTTGATGATAGCCTTTAACAACTAGTCTAGCCTTTAGTTTGTTTATAGAACCATCAGGATTCAATTTGGTTCTATAAACCCACTTAAGACCAATAACTTTGTGTTTCGTAGGCTTGTCTACAAGTTGCCAAGTTTTTTTTTTTTTTTAATCATATTCATCTCCTCCTGCATAGCACATCTCCACCCATCTATTTCAGCTGCTTCATCATATTCTTTTGGTTATAGTGCAACAATGTTACATCTTTCATAAATTTCAGCAAGAGTTTTAGTGCCTCTAATTGAAAAATCATCACCATCATCATCATCATCATCTAAATCTTCTTCTTCAATCTCTGAATATTGTTCTTGGAGAGTGTCTACTCCAAGCTGTTTTTTACTTAAGGCTTCTACCTTGCATTTCTCCCAATTCCATCTAAAAAATTCATCAAACTTTACATTTCTACAAATGAGAATCTTCTTTGTCAAAGGATTGTATATCCTATAACCTTTGGAGTTATTGTAGTACCCCAAGAAAGCACCAACTTCTGACTTGTGATCCAGTTTATCTCTCTTTATCTTTGGAATATGAGTATAACATATGCAGCCAAATATTTTGAGATATTCCACTGAGGGCTTCCTTCCGTACCATGCTTCATAAGGTGTTTTGCCTTTCAAGGCTTTGGTAGGCAACATATTCAGCAAGTATGTAGAGGTGTTAACCGCTTCTGCCCAAAAGGTTTTGGGAAGATCTTTTTCAAAGAGCAAACACTTTGTCATCTCCATAATTGTCCTATTTTTTCTTTCACTCACCAACACCCAGCTCATCCTTATAAAGTCATCTACAAACTGCAGAAAATATCTACTGTCATTTAAGGATGTTGAGCTCACTGGGCCACATACATCAATGTGTATAAGTTGCAGTTTTTCAGTAGCTCTCCAACTTGCTTCATTAGGAAATAGTAGTTTGTTTTACTTTCCATATTGACATACATCACACTCATCATCATGTTCTTGAATAGAAGGCATATTCTGAACTAAATTATTTGACTTCATTAGCCTTAAGATTGAGTAACTAAAGTGACCAAACCTCTTATACCACAAGGAAGATTCATCTACTATGCTAGAAAAAGCTTGCTCAATATTTTGTTTCCATTTTAAAGGAAAATTTTTCTCTCTCATTTTGACAGACATTAGCTCACATCCATAAGGATCAAATATGGTACATCTCATATTTTCAAAGAGCAAAGCATAACTCTTTTCAAGCATTTGCCCCACACTTAAAAGACTTTGACTCAACTCAGGCACAAATAAAACATCTGAAATATATTTGGTACCTCTAGGAGTTTCAACAACAACCACTCCTTTTCCTTTGACATCAACATTTTCTCCATTGCCAATAATGACTTTGGACAAGTAGGACTGATCAAGTTCCTTAAAAAAACTAGCATCATGAGTCATATGATTAGTACACCCGCTATCTATGAGTCAAACTTCTTTGCTACTACTTGCAAAATAACAAGAAGCAATAAACAACTGCTCCTCACTCTATTCTTGGTACTCAGCAACTTGAGCTTATTGTCCTTGCTGTTTTGCCTTGTTTTGCAAACTTTTTCTACATGACCAAGCTGGTTACAAGCTCTACACTTGACTCCAGGCCTAAACCAACAATATTTTTCTGTATGGTTTGTCTTTTTACAGTGAGGACAAGGTGGAAACTTCTCTTTTCTACCTTCTCTTTTGTTGTCATCATCTTCTTTTTTTTCTTTGTCTTTCTTTCCACCAAAAGGCTTTTTCATAGCTACTTCTACCTTGAGGTTTGCCTTTGATGTTGACCACAAAAGCACCTTCAACATTTCTTCCATTCTTAGAGATCTTCTCTGCTCAGTAGCTAGTAAAGCATTAATCAGTTCTACAACTGAAATCTGAGAAAAATCTTTATTCTCTTCAAGAGAGGAGATTTTTGACTCAAACCTCTCTGGAAGACACACCAATATTCCACAACTCTTTGATCTTTAAGCTATTCACCTAACAATCTAATCTGAGTAACAACTTTAGAAAGTCTATCAAAAATCAATGAGCTCTTGATACCATGTTGTAAAATAAGCTCTTGATATCATGTTGTAAAATAAGCTTTTGATATCATGTTGTAAAATAAGCAAAAACAGTAAAGTAATATAAAATCAGAAAAAAAGCGTACAAAGATGAACAGAACGTGATACAGAGTTCAGCAGCAAACAAATGAAAAAAAATCAGTTGTTCATTGATACCATAAAAGTTTTCTTTTTTTAATAAAGTGTTTTAGAAAAGCCTCAATTTCTAATACACTCCCAATGGCAATAGTCAGAATCATTCCTCCTGTTCTTGACACAAGAAAATTGTCTATATAGCTTATGTCAGTGTAGAGGGCGTTATTGAATTGTTAAACACCCATTTCCCGTTGGCAACATTGCACTCCTCAGGGTCAAAATCAAACTTGTCATCAATCCATGATGATGCATTCATGAGCACAACCTCTTCATCTGCTTTTTTATCACCTGCTAGGACAATCATAATATGATGAGATATGATTGCATTAGAATCAAAATGATAAATAAAAACATAAGAAGGCAATACGAGGTGAGGTATATAGTTGCAGCATATGAGAAGCCGACTCACTAGACTTTGGTTTGGTGATTTGTGTAGGACATGGTTTGACTTGAAAATGGACTTGGAACAGGGGAAACTGAGTCTCTCCGCATACAAGATAGCCACAAAAACAAGAACACAGTTAGTAATGTTAATGATGGGAAGAGAAAGCTTTCCTCTGGGAGGCTTCATTATTCCTGAAGGGATCATGGGGATTAGTTGAGCTTAACGGTGGGAAGAAAGAGTTAATGAAGTGGTGCTCAACACAACAGAATGATGAGGACATTGTACAAAGGGTTTAGAGGGGGAGGTTTTATGCATTTTTGAGTAGGAGTGAAGTTAAAGCATAGTATACTTTGGCATGACTAAACAACCCTAAAAGATACTGGAGGTTAAGGAATGGGTTGAAAGGCTAACATCTTGGCACCTCATACTTTGGTCATTTAGAGGAATCTATGCATTTAGCCACACGCCATGCTTTCTAGTTTCTATATCATTAAGTAGACCCTGTAGAATATTCATTGGGTGGGAAATATACTATTCTTGTCAAGTTTCTGTCTCTCATATCACTAGTTGAATATTCAATAGATCTGTTCTAACCATCAAGTAGATGCTGGTCCCAAATGATTATTAGACTAAATTGTGTCTTACTGCATTTTAATACATTACTTTATGATGTACGATATAAGCATTGTGTATGACTCACAAACATAGATCTATTCTGTAGGAGTTGATGAATCCTTTAGTAGTCTTTGTTGTGTACTTAGTTTATACTACAAAAATGCTGTGAAATATCAGAATTCATGTAAGTGAGAATTTGACTTGGGCTAATAAAATAATTTCGTTTGAAAATTTGATTTTGTTTAAGCATTAAAAGAGGGAACCTTTGATATTATTTTATAAAAAGTCATTGTCTAAAATTTTAGATTAATAATTACGTTAAATCAAGTCGTTAAGGTAGATTATACACCTAAACACCTAACTTAATCATGTTCAGCCATTGAATACTGTTCTCTACTCAAACAGCTACCAAACAAAGAATGTTAAGATATAATTCCTGATTCCTCAAACGTGTCTTTCGCTATTGCATATAATAAGTCCTGCAATATTGATCTTCCACTGTACACTACATATTGATCTATGTAATTTATGCAAGGTTGTTCCAATATTGAGTGGGACATGGTAGCTTCCAATTTGTTCTTATTTTAATACTCAACTCATCCTTTCCTTTTTGATAGCAACTATTGGTTGCATGAGCAACTACTTTCTTTCCTCCCTGTAGGTCCATTTGTCTTTTTGTGTTTTTAGAGGAATATTGAAAATTTGTTCCTTCTCACCAGTTTGCCATTTTATTTGGACGACATTATAAAAATGCTTGTTTATTTGGGTAGAAAAAGGCCTTGTGTTTTTAGTAGAAATTGCTATTTATGGTACTCTTTGTAGCGTTGTTTGATTTCGTAAGAAAAATTACCTTTATGCAAATAAGTGAGAAGACAATATTCAAAATGCAAGTAGTCACCATGACTAAATTGGTCTAATTTAAAATGAGTCATTTAATTTATAAAATAATTTTAATAAGGTTTCTAATGTGATGATTATTACTTTATACATATATTAAAGTTATGACTCTCTTTTCTCACTTCATGAAGGATATTATGGTATTTTAATAAATATTTTAAATTACTATCTAAAGTTATATTACATATTTTAGATTAAAAGTTAAGTTCCTAAACAATAAAAGATAATTGACTTTGACATAATAAAGTGTTATACTAAGCACATTATGTATCATCAAGAAAGTAACAAAAAGCTTGGTGTTCGATTTAGGGGCTATCGGTCCCGTGTTCGATTTAGGGGCTATCAGCCCCGCGCTTAACCTAGGGATTGTCAGTCCTGCGTTCGACCTAGGGATTATCGTCCCCGTATTCGATTTAATGGCTATCGGCCCTACGTTCGATTTAAACTTTTAGGTACGGGTACAACCCCTCGCGTCGTCATGTCCTTTATTTTAAATAAACTTTGAGGTACGGGTACGACCCCTCCTGTCATCATGTCCTCTATTTAAAATAAACTTTGAGGTACGGGTACGATCCCTCGCGTCATCATGTCCTCTATTTTAAATAAACTGAGGTATATGTACGACCCCTCGCATCGTCATGTCCTCTATTTTAAATAAACTTTGAGGTACGGGTACAACCCCTCGCATCGTCATGTCCTCTATTTTAAATAAACTTTGAGGTACGGGTACAGCCCCTCGCGTCGTCATATCCTCTATTTTAAATAAATTTGAGGTACGGGTACGACGCCTCGCATCGTCATGTCCTCTATTTTAAATAAACTTTAAGGTATGGGTGCGACCCTTCATGTCGTCATGTCCTCTATTTTAAATAAACTTTGAGGTACGGGTGCGACCTCTCGTGTCATCATATCCTCTATTTTAAATAAACTTTGAGGTACGGGTACGACTTCTCGCGTCATCATATCTTCTATTTTAAATAAACTTTGAGGTACGAGTACGACCCCTCGCGTCGTCATGTCCTCTATTTTAAATAAATTTTGAGGTATGGGTACGGCCGCTTGCGTCGTCATGTCCTCTATTTTAAATAAATTTTGAGGTACGAGTACGACCCCTCGCGTCGTCATTTCCTCTCTTTTAAAATAACTTTGAGGTACGAGTATGGCCGCATGCATCATCATGTGTCTTTAAATCAACAAAAACAATAAAAATAAATTTCTTCAAAACCTAAAACAAAATACAAAACTCTTTCAAAAACACCAAAAATATATTAAAAACTTTAATCAGACATACAAATTTTTCTATAAAAAACTACGTAACCCTGATTTCTCATTTTGAATGAGAATACGTAAAAGTAAGGTCAATCCTTGTCAAGCCCCAAAAAAAAACTAAAAAAATATTTAGTCCATTTCTTTTCCTTTTTCCTTTTCTATTTTTTGATTTTTGGAGGAAAATAAATATTTTTAAAATAACATTTAATTTCGCACATTCAACTAAGGGTAACTATCTTAGGACGCAGTGGCAGATCTTGACTATTGATCTTGGGGGACCAAATAATATATTATTAATAAATAATAAATAAATATAAAAGGAAGAAAGAAGATGAAATGGTCAAAGGATATACTTAAATATATTAAATGATCATTAAGTTTGAAGGGGACAAAATTATAAATTATATGAGAGTTACAAAATTGAGGAGGGGCTGAGAGGATAGAATTATAAATATACAAGTAAATATATTAAATGTTCATTAAGTTTAGGGGGGACAAAATCATAAATTACATGGGAGTTACAAAACTTTGGGGGGGGGGGGGCACGACCCCCCTCAGCTCCTAAGAAGATTCGTCACTGTTAGGACCGACGTTGTAGGGTGTTAATGTCTTCCCTACTCATAACCGACTCCCGAACCTGAGTCTGGATTTTTGTAGACCTTGTCTTATCTTTACAGTTTTTTTCATATTTTTCTTGAATAAATTATGGTGGCAACTCCAATACTCTAATTATGATTTTTTTAAATCTTTTAAAATTTTGGTTCGTCGTCCTGCCACGATTTCAGTTGCAACAGATGGCGACTCCGCTGGGGAGGCATTAGAGAGTCAAGCCTAATTAGTTGAGTGTGCGAGATATATGTCAGTTTTAAATGTTTGTTTCCTCCTCTGTCTTTTTTATGTTGTTTGCTCATGATGTTTGTTAGTGTTGCTAATAAGAGTTTTGAACTATTGAATCCTAGGGTAGGTGACATGTGTTTTATCTGCCTTTTTTTTTTTCTGGTTGTTTTGCAGGTGAGGGTTGGGTATGCATTTTTCCTCCCTTCACACACACACACACACACACACACACCCTTATGCATTCCATATTAAGTGCAGCCCTGCACCCGGGTCTGAGCAAGCTTAGAATTAGAGGGGTTTTGTAGCAATGCTGCTTGGAATGTATTTTCCGACTGGTCATTGTGAGAACCCCAGCTAGAGTTTATTTGCTTCATTAGTACTCTCATCTCTGGTCATTTACCAACTGTTGTGGGAAATGCTGTGAAGTGAACCATAACTCTAGTGACTTTCTACCAATAAGATCAGGGAGCCCACCTGGTGAGTATGCATAAAAGTTGCCCTAGGTCCTTAGATGTTACTCTGAACCATGATAAGGCACAAAGGGAGAATCTCACATTCCTACCTCTCACCTTATTTAAATGCATTCACATCTTTGTGTCTATTCACCTTCGCATGCATCCCATGACATTTTTTTGACTATTTTGGGCTTACGCAGGAAAGAAATCATAAAGTACTTTGAATATTTCGGAAAAATGTGGAAATTAATATGGGGTCCCAAGAGGAGAAAGAATTTAATCCAAGTACTCTGAAGAAGAAATTGCAGATAAGGGTCAAGGAAGAGAATATGTCTAGTCTAGTGGAATTAGGAAGAAAGATGAAATCAATACGGAGGGATGCCTTTAGAAAGAAATATGGGAATTTGTTGAATCTGATGGAGGTAGAGGTATAGGGAGCAGTAATCACTGCCTTGGCCCAATATTATGACCCCCCGTTGAGGTGTTTCATTTTTCTGGATTTTCAGCTGGCTTTAACGATAGAAGAATTTGAACAAATTTTAGACCTGCCTTTGGAGAACCAAATTTTGCACCAATATGCAGAGCACCCTACTTCCATCCCGACGCTGGTAGGTATCATGAATGTCGCCGCCGTCAAAACAAGGCGGTCGGAGCGACGCGATGGTTTCGACTTTCCATTTTTCGCGTTTTTTATTGGTGGTTACAACGCCTTTAGGTTGTCCGATAACCGGGCTGAACCTAGGGGCGAGGTTTTCGAAATGACGCTATTGGATTGTCCGATAACCGGGCTAATCCAAGAGCTAGTTTTGAAGGGTTCTCTGGAGTCGCCACCGATGTTTTTACCGGAAACATCGGAAAAGGGTTTAAAAGGCGTTGGTTTTCGAAAAACCAACTTTGGTCGTTAGAACCAGAGTTGGGTAAGGGAGTTAGTTACGCGTAAAGGAAGTGTTAGTTCCTTTACGACGCCCCTTTCAGGTTCCCTATGATAGGCCAGCTTACTTAAATGATTAAACCGGAAAAATACGCTTTCACCCTTTTATTTGCGAAATTTAGAGATTATGACTATATGACCCTATATCTATTGCATGATTAAAATAAAGCGGTAAAAGAGAGAGAGAGAGTGTAAAAACC